GACCTAAGAAAAATTTCATGAAATAAATATTTCAACTGTAGTGAACGAAAAGACAGGAGGGGACAACCGAGAGTATTTCAATTCAACATTACAGAATATCTTGGTAAAATCTATGACTTTGTTGTTCCTTCGTTTCCAAACCAATCATTCTCAGTTCTCTTTCTCTTTTCTTCGATTTTCTTGAACTTATATCGCCAGACATTTCAATTTCGATTGATGACACATACTATTTATATCTGTCGACACCAGTAGCAAATACCACAATTATATTTGAGATTTTGATATACAACCCATCAACAAAAATCACTTTACAACCAGTCCACTGATTTCGAATCACTTGGTTGATTTCTCTTCAAATATCAAAATTTGGTGATGAAATCACTTGTTATCATGTCTAACGCTCGTTTTCTTTTGCATGTTGTCAGCTTTTTATTTTACTTCCATATGGCTTATTTAAGCTTTGGCCTAACCATATTTGAATGACCTCTTTTTGGCAAACATGACATTGAAGGACTAGTAGGATGATAGATATTCTGCATTTGATTAGCATGTAGTGGTCCGATTGATTGTTTCCTACCTTGATATGCAAGTATAAATGCATTTGTAACCTCTGGGTAATATTGAAAACATTATTATGGACAAATCAATTCAACTATTGTTTGTTGTTTTGTGTTCTATAGTTTAATAAAAATGTCTTCACTGTTTTTGTGTTTACCACATCTGATTAGTAGTAGTACTAATGTATCATATATGTATGGATAGTCAAGTAGTCGGTTTATGCATAATTCTATAGTGTACAGTCTTACATCAAACCCACTTGGTTTATTCTAGCTTCCGGACAGACTGAATTATTCATTCTTTCCAAGTCACATTTTGACCTTGTTATTTGTTCACCTATTAAACTTGACTGTTTTTATATGAGCTCATGTATGTTAACTGCTCAGCCTATTTATTACGTGTCTTACTTTTGCCTGACCATAAAACATTGATTCACTCTTGATCAGATCGAGTTGTCTCGCTTCCCTTCTCAGCGTCGCCTTGTTTTGCTTCGGTTTCCCGCTTCTTATTCTGAATATCTGTTTGAATAAATGAATGTTTGAAACCAACTTTACCAACGCAACCTGTATTTTGCTTCTATTACCGCCGTCACACATTCGCTGGCCAAGGTAATGTATGGTGTTAAGTGGAAGATCTATGTACATAGCATATTTTCACGTTCATCCGAATCGAATTCAGATAGCTGACTACTATTCTCAAAAAACATGTAGAAAACAACCGTAGTATATCAAACGTTGATTATTGCCCAATGACAATGGATGACTTCAGAAAAATGTACTATTGCATCGAGAAAAATTCAAAATATTTCCTGTGCTCAACCATTATAAATTCACTTATGTTAATTCGGATCTCAAACACACGACTGTTGACCATTTTCTTCATAGTGATATAGAAGACAATCTAAACAAGCGACATGGTAGTTAATAATAAACATACATTCTACCAATCTGGATTCTAGATAATCTAGTCAGACGGAGCAAGTTATTTTAAATTAAAGACACAGTTTCCGAACACTTTGTTAGCCTCGACCGAAATCTAACGTCCGAAAGAGCTGGGAAGTTAGTTAAATAACACCACAGATAAGGTCTGTGTACTCAAAGTGTGATTTGATACAGAGTATTGTTATTACCCCTCAAATGCCCTGGTACGGCCGAGAATGGGGAGAATCCGCTCTCCCTCTCGAAATGCTCTTACATGGCCACGCGTATACAGCCTCTGCCAGGGAAGTCCTACTCACTGCCTTCTCGTGGAAGGGGTGTTGTTTACAAACTTGAGAAGATGAAAAGCGAATGCTCGGCTCTTGAACCGGGTTTGTGGACACGGTGCACATGGGCTCCAGTGTCCTGAGGGAACAAATGGCGTATGAACCAATCGTTAGGTCACCGGCTACCGTAGGACTTCATCTCCTTACGATGCTCCACTGCCTTGTGAATCACATCTGTAGGTCAAAGGCTCCGGTTGTGATCCCCTTAGAAAACCGCGTCCTTCGGCTTTGGCACCCGAGCAATATCGCAGACCTCACACAAATCAAGTGAGATTTGTGTGGTGCATATATATCTGGTGCCCTTTGTACCAATTTTTATGTAGTTAAACAAATAAGTAAATGGTTATTACTGATCGCAATGAGCTTTGGTGAGTTTGAAAACCATACATTTTATCGTGAGTTTTTATCAATGATCTTGTTTGAGAGATGTAAAAACAAGAATTGTACTTATTTCAATGATTTAATGCAAGGTCATAATATACGGTATTTAATGGTTCGTTCAGAGATTTCTACAAACTAACTGAATAGTTGATAAGTTTAAAGTTTCAAAAGTCAGACGAACCACTTTGAACAAACATTGTAAGCAAAGATCGATAGTGGCTAGTAGTGGAATCTACGACGTCCGTTTCGTCCTATTTAGGACTCGTCAGCTGGACGTACCTGCATCTTGGAGTTGATGTTCATTCTGGGGCTCGAACCCAGTACCTATCGCTTCAAACGCCATCGCGTTATCCACTCGGCTACTGAGTCCTGATGCCCCCAAATGCCCTGATAGTCACCAGTTTGTGCAATGGGGTGAAGTTTATATTCACTTGGTGTTGTTTACTTGCATCTTTCCATTGATGTTTCTTATTGACATATGTGCATACTGTGCGTATTGCCTCGATATAGCCTTGATTCACAATCACTATAAGCAAAGATGGATAGTGGCCAGCAGTAAAATCCACGAGGCGCGTTTCGTCCTATTTGTGTTCGAGTCTCAGAGAGAACATCAACTCTGAGATGCCGGTACATCCAGCTGACGAGTCCAAATAGGACAAAACGCGCGTCGTGTATTCCATTTCTGGCCACTATCCATCTTTGCTTATAATGTTGTATACACTTACTTTGTTGATTATTAATTAACTTTATACGTAGATTGGTGCCATATTGACATACAATTTGTTATAAATCATATGTGCATTATATTAATATAACAAATGAATTAAAGTTAGCATGTACAGAAAATGAATTCTAAGAATACGAAGAATATTTATCTACCGAATGCTCAAATTGAATTCGTACATCACTTTTTTAATTCACAGACGCCCTTTTAACCTCTTATGTTAAATGATATTAACGACCAACACAAACACATTTAATGAAGTAGGTCTGCGTTTTGACACTGATCTTAGTAATCTAATTATGTTGCTTAGTAATCACAACAACAGGTTGTCATATGAATCTATTCTTAATAGTGGTATTGTTTTGGTTACTTCGAATTTGTACTGCATCAGGAAATATTTTGTAAACGTTTCACATCTTATTCCATGGAAAATTTTGATTCTGTTCTGTTGTATCTTAAATGGACAAAATTAACACTCACAACTCTAAGAAAAAGCAAAACCCTTGCAATTATCTAGATTTACAGAGTTTGTTTAACAATTTTTGTGATTAATCAGCTCAGTATTCGCCTTTTTCCACTATCAAACTTATATTCATTTTCTTCACAGACTACTTAAGAATAGTAGTGTTCTATATAAACATGTCACTAACTTCTGGCTGATATGAGTAAATTAAACTTGAATCTTCAGATGGAATACCACCTTATCACATAGTTTAACAGTTAACGATTGCTGCAGTAAAAATGTCAATTGACAAATTTTAGTAACCAGTGTTAATTAAATTTGACAATTCTGAGTAAACGGCTGAATATAGTTGCATATATATGATTGTTATTTACTTTTGAAACTAAATGCAAGTTGTGGATGAAAACCTTTCTCAAACGGAATTATCGTACTTCAGTTACATACTATGTTCTGTGCAACAATATGTCCTGTACAAAGTCCACAATTTTATTCAATCTACGAAATTTAAATGTTATGACTATTGGACGTCTGCTGGAGAAAAATAATTCTGCGTCCTGATACAAATATATGGTTTTTCGTGTTAACGTTTGACCAAGCTTTGACCAAGAAACTATTTTTAGTGATCCATTTGCTTTTTACGCTAATTTTCGTTGCATCAAACTTCTAGGACAGACTTAAGTCATCTAGTTTTTTTCTTTCGATAACACGTTGCAGTTCTGATGAATAAGGGAGGCCTTTATAACTTCAAATTACTACACTGCCCGTTGATTTTCACTGGCTGTTTTCTTTATCAGTTTGTTATTTTGTTTAATGCTCCCAATATCATTGTTATTATCATATAAATCGAATTTTTGTACCACATTCTTCATTTCAGGAAAGAAAGAGGCTCTTTGATCAAAATATCTTTTCTTATGTCTCTTATTGCAACACAGTGGGGATATCACGGTTAATTTGCTTTTGTTACTTAGCTGAATAAACAAGTGACGGGAGGTGGAGAACGAAAGTTTAGTCCAGTCTGAACCGATCATGAGTATCAAATAACATAATTGATAGTTATTGTAATGAAATTGATCATTTTACCAAATGGATTAATTACGATGAGTACTAGGTTAGTTTTCTAATACAGGCACTAATTAAACTGGATTATGTTTAGGTAACCTTAAGTTTGGCAACTCAAACTTGGTTATATATATATATATATATATATATATATATATAATACGTTCAGGCTCATTTTAGTGATGCGCCTCTTACATAATGGTCATTTTTAGTGTGATTATTATTTAGTGATTTGAAAAGATGTTGAAAATTCAGTACTATTAGTTTTCATGAGACATAAGCGATAGTTGATCAACTACATGAATCTGGGTTATGAGTTATCAATTGGTCTTGCTAAATTAACTACTAACCAAGGTACTATGGTGATCAATAACTGAGTGAACAATTGTTGACTTTTGTTTCCATGTAAAAGATATTTATTAAGTTAGTCAGCACACAAGCAGAATGATTATCAAATGTTTTGTATTACTCTAAAATAACTTAAGGTACAAAAAAGAATGAGTAAATGGGAAGAGATTATTATGAATACCAGTTAAAAGGCAATACATTTTAAGATAAATTTTATTTAGATTTTTTCTGAATGTAAGATTCAAAAAGAATAAAGTAACAGTGTCATAATCAGTAGTCATGTTTCATTGACTTACCAAAAGAATTTCATAAATTGAATGTTTATAGTTTGATAATATCTATGTAGATATTTCCCTTTTATTTATTTGGTGATTCATACAAAGGTCCTTCATAAGTTTGAAGTTTTTCTATACCTGATTGACAAAACAAGTACTTTGAACCATATTCAGATTCAACTACATCACCGCATGTTGAAGTAAGAAATGTTAAATCATTATCAAACATTGCAATTAATTCATCTTTATGAGCATAAATATTTTCATTATCTAATCTATATAGATTTTTTAAACTTTGACGTCTTGAATTTACTGGTGTTGCATCATTATTATCTTGATGGTTAGATTGATTATGTTTCATTTTATTCTTTGACTGATAACCAATTAAAGGATGAAAATTGTCATTAGCTGGAGGTGAAATCATTCCTTTTGGTGAACTATATGAATTTGTTTTTCGATTTCTATTATTATTTGATTCATTTTCACCATAACCATTTACTTCATGTTCATTTGGCATATCACTAACTGATACCGATGTTATATTATTATAAGTATGTGATGGGGAAAATGGTGAAGTATTAGGAAATATTTCAGCACGATCTACTGCTTCAGTTACAGGTGATCCAGTATCACGTAAAAATCCACTTTGATAACTTAATGATTCATTATTTAAATTTGTACTACTTTCAAATAATTCAGCAGCTGATATTTCATTATTCATATCAATAGTTGATCTTGATGTATTTTGACTTTTATATAATCTATGATCTGAATTATTTTTAGCTGAACTAACTAAACGTGTTAATTTTTCTAAATCAGATGGATCATCACAACAATAACTTTCATATGTTTTTTTATTTGTTTCCGAATCATGTTTACATATCACAAATACACCTGGTTTACTTGTAAAAACAAAAAAATTTTTTATATCTTTATATTCAGCATATTTTCTTGTTGAATGAGGAATAATTGATGATGATTTATTAAATTTTAATCTATCTTGTAAACAACTAATAGTAATATTTGTATGACCTTTAGTCAAATGTTTTTTTATAATTTGATCAGCTAAAAAACGTGAAAATGATTCATTATCAGCTATTTCAGTAACACCGAATTTTTTTCCACGACATTGAAAAAATATATCTTTTTCATTTGAAGAATCCATACTACTTGATCGTTTGCCTCGTTTCATTTGTCTTTATTATTACAATACAATGTTATAATAGTTAATCTTCTTGAAGATTTGTTGAATAATCAATTTCTTTTTGATAAACCAGTAATCACCAGTAGTTTGTTAAATAAAACAATGATAAAATTACTAGTTTGATAGTTTAGTAAAAGTGATTACTAAATGAAGATTATCAGTAAAAATAATACTTACACATAAAGATATAATCGAACATTAGTAAGACTCAATTGAATTCTTAAAAGAAAGGTACATACATATGTATGTTTGATGTTTTGTATGTGTATGTAAATAGATGAACATGTGACATATAGTATTTATTGCTTCATTACTATAATATTTGTTATCGATTGAATTTTACACCCACATCTATAGTTCTAGTACTGTTAAGTATGATAAGTGGTTACCGTAACTACATCTCATAATATACATATTCGCATGCCTGAAATAAGTAGAATATATATTTTAAAATGTACAATTATCTTAAATGTATAGTTGAAAATTGAAACATAACGGAGTATGATGAAAACAAAAAGAAATTTGAGTTCATTTACAAATAGTCCAGTTGTAATTTCTATGTGCACTTGGTTTAGATTAACTTCGATAGAGGTTGTTGAGTAGGTTTTTAAAAGAATTTTAAAAAATCTTTATCATTTAAAGAAAGACACTTTATTATCTGGAGATTAAATATGGTATGATTTGGAGTTGTTAAGGATTACATGAAAAACCTATGAGCACTGGATAACTGTTTTGTCCTGGTATAAGACACTTCATCACACCTTCGAATTCTGGTTTTAGTGTCAAATGCCTTAACATAAAGCTACTAAGCTAAAATCTGACGCTAAACATTTACGAATTGAATCAAATGCCCTGGTACGGCCGAGAGTGGGGAGAGTCTGCTCTCCCTCTCGAAATGCTCTCGTATGGCCACGCGAATATATAGCCTCTGCCACGGAAGTCCTACTCACTGCCTTCTCATGGCGGGGGTGTTGTTCACAAAAGTGAGAGGACGAAAAGCGAATGTCCGGCGCTTTAACCGGGTTGGTGGATGTGGAGGATCCACCTAGGGGAGTTGGAAAACCCTGATTCCAAACCAATGGTGCACATGGGCTCCAGTATCCTGAAGGAACGAATGGCGAATGAACCTGTTGTTGGTCACCGGCTACCATGGGACTGCATCTCCTCACGATGCTCCACTGCCTTGTGGACTAGACCTTTAGGTCAAAGGCTCCGGGTGTGGCCCCCTAAGAAAACCACCTGCTTCAGTCTGGGCGCCTGGGCAGTATCACAGCCCTCACACAAATCAAATGAGATTTGTGAGACGCATATTTATCTGGTGCTTCCTTGTACCAATATTTATGTGTTTAAATAAATAAATAAATAAATAAAATAATTTGTGATACTAAGATGAAGTGTTTATCAAGTGTTCCCTGATTTTTTTAAACTACTCAAACTGAAGTCAATTTATGACTGTAAATCTCCGTAATAGACCTCATTCTGAGAAACATATTTTAGACTACTTTTGAAATTGTCTGTCAAATCGTCAAAATTTCTTTTGACGAAGTTTGAATTTTTCATTATATGCTTATTATTAAACATTAGAAAGGAATGTCTCAAAACTTCATCAAATCTGATTTTTCATACACGTACATCCTCATTATTATTTTATACAGTCAGTATTGTAAAAATATGGTCGTTTTCAAAAATCATATATTGAATTATGAGCAATTTAATGAAGAAGTTCTGGTACAAATCTGATCGATAATTTAAATAGGATCACTTTATTCCTTTTAAGAAATAGTACTTGACAATGTATGTAACCTGAAGAATAAATTGACAAAGAATAAAAAGCTTTCCTAATATAGACGGTTTCTTCAAGAATTAATTCTTAAAGTGGATTACAGATGCATTGGTTTACTTGGAATATAGAGAAATGATGTAATTTATCCAACAGCACTTAACTAAGAGAAGATATCTTGATTCAACAAGTTTCTAACATTTTAGGTGTCTCTAACAGTGCCAGATAGTTGTCTGGTAGAAAATTACAAAATAGTACATGTGTTACATTTTAATAACAAGTTTAAAAACTAGGGACTGAAAATAAACTGTTACCAATCCAAGTAAGAAATTTCAACTAAAAATGAAGATATTGTAGCTGTAAATAATTCCCCAAAATCAATAGCTCTTTAAGTGTTCGACATTGGATGCTGACCACATTAATTTAAGTGGCCTTGTTTAGCTGAATGCTCTCGGTCATGAATCCGTTCCAGATCACGTTACAACACGGCGTGAGAAACATCTCCTACGATCATTAGCCAGATTAGATCAGTCACTTCTCGATATATTAATAACGAATCAAATATATCTTCCAATCTCCTCGCTTCTGGCTTCTGATTTTAACTGGGTGGGCGCGATTCGATTACAGAAGGTGTTGCTGGTAAAGAGTTGTCAAACTACAATACTAGTTGTATCTTCAATATACTGACGGAGTAGTCTATTTTCATTTTTAGTTTCATAACAAATAAAGTTGTTGCTTACATTGAAAGAGTTTGTGAAGAATCCTTAAGTGAATTTGAAATGTTTTACTATAATCAAAGATCAGATAATATTTGGTGCACTGTACACTGAAAAGCGTAAAGGTTATTGTCTTTTGAAGTAAACTGTTAAGATGAACGGTTACTTTTATTTTTAGAGAAATGTAGATATTTCAAGAGAAAAAATCATTTATTCCTGTATCTCAATAATTTAGTCGTTTTTAATTTCTTTCTTAACTGATAAATGAATTGAGCTGTGTTTAATTAGAAGTGGGTTAGATTTATCAGGACACCAGTACAGAAGAAGACGACTTTGTCATTATCACAATGACGCGTATGAGGGAATCAAATTATGACGTTTTTCCATTAATAGTTTTGGCTGGGGTTATTTCCATTTACAAGTAGTCTTCGTAAACAAGCGATATTAGTTAAGATATCATTAAGGACAAGTGAATTCTAGACAGCCGTCAGTATCTGCAAAACACAAAAGATTATGGACTCGCTAGCGAGTCGATTACATACTATATTCCAACTGAGGGACCTCTGTTAAATAATACTGACAGGATTCGAAAGTCTCACGTTTTATTCCTAGAGTAAATTCAAATGACCGAATATAGTAGGGAATTCTTTATATAAACCTTGAACTAAAATTACATAATTAACTTTTCAGATGATAAATGATTGTCCAGTGATGAGAGTCCAGGAAAACACAATTAATGGGGTTTCACTTCTGCTCATTGTATCAAAAGGTACGATCTACAAAATGATAAGCTTATCATTTTGTCGGTAATTAAATTCATGAAGTATATCATTCAAATTATATCACCATTGTGCATTCCCAAATAAATTATTTCAGTATTTTATTAGTAAGTATTAACCCTTATAAAAAAAATACGCCGTCAATCTGGAAATGTGGGTTTCAGGAAGGTTTTGGTTGTATTATTTATAGAGAAACAGTCCTACTGTACGGAGCTGAAACGTAAAGAACTAATACATCCATCGTCAAGAAGGTACAAGCATTTATAAACAGTTGTTTCCGCAAAATACTCAACATCCACCGGCCCAATACTATCAGCAACAACGTTTTATGTGAGAGGACAAACCAGCTTCCAGCTGAAGAGGAAATTAGGAAAAGACGTTGGAAGTGGATCGGATATACATTAAGGAAATCACCAAATTGCATCACTAGGCAATCCCTAACTTGGAATCCTGAAAGGAAGCGGAAAAGTGGAAGGCCAAAGAACATATTATGCCGGGAGATTGAATCAGACATGAAAATGATGAACGTTAATTAGGAAGAACTCTAAAGGACTGCCAAGTACAGAGTTGGATGGAGAATGCTGGTGTGCGGCCTATGCTCCTCGACGAGGGGTAACAGGTGTAAGTAAGTAAGTAATCTCTAGAGAAAGTGATTAGTCAAATTGTATCATCAGACAACGAACGAATGAGAAAACGAAAACTGTATGAATGATGAGTTCTCATCAAAAGCAAAATGGATAGATGTAAGCATATTATGTAATATAAAGTGATGTCATGTGATTTAAAACGTCTAGTTTGCATTTTTAAATGCTTCTAGTATGTTCTAAGTTGAATTCCCTTTAAGTTTGACAAGAGATGAAAAGTACTCAAATCAAAGAATCAATAAAAGGTCAAAACTTAAAGTTGTGAGTTCAGTTATATGTTCAGTTAAGGATGGAGATTGTTGGAGAGTACAATGCTAAAATGTAATGTCTATCCAGTGCATTTATCTAGTCAATGTTTCTTAAGCTGTTGTCAGGTGGTGACGAACATTATCTTCAAATTAGTGGGTTGATCAATAAAAAATAAAGTTATATTACTTAGTTAGAATAAAACATTTTAAAACAAGAATTATATGATTTTTTAATTTTTTATAAAAAAAAATTTATTGGATTCAGATCCAAAATCAAAGCAAGGATGAAATAAATTAAATTAAACCAAATTTTACAATGATCAAGCTTAACAACTAACAATTTCGGTAAAGAATTCTTTTTATGTTAGTTCTTGATTCAAAGCCTAATTCAAACGTGTCGGTTGGATGAAACAATTTACAAATCCACCGTATTTTCTATGTGCGTGTGTATAAGATCAGTTTCTGTAAAACGTTCTAATCTTATGACTTTTTAAGTTAATATAATTGAAGAACGTTAGTTTTGAGGAGTATCGTACTTTCACACTGGCTAATAAAATATAAACCATTACTTTTAACTATTAAATCAATATTTGTGTGTTTTTATTATTAGTTATCCTCTTATATTCTCGATATAGAATGTATAGTTGAATATGTAATTAAACATATGTAGTTCTTGTCAGATCATGACATTTTGGATGTTACTTTGATGTTATTCTTTATGTGCCTCATATCAAATCAAAAGCACTTTTGTATCTAGAAAGTAGTATTGTTAACATTGATATTTCCTATCATATAAAAAGTCCCCTACAGTGAAACCACTAAGTTAGTTGAAGCTAGACCACCAACGAAAACGTGGAAGCACTGGACGGCCGTTTCGTCCTATTGTGGGATTCCTCCTCCTTAGAACGAAACGGCCGTTCAGGTTTTCCAAGGCGGTCTAGCTTCAGTTGACTCATGACTTCAACTATGAAAATATACTGAAATCTCCACAAAACTCTTTCTGAAACCACTAAGGTAATTCATCAGCTTAGGCACAAATCTTAGCTTCATCTTAATTAAAATTTATACTACTATCAGTAATATAACGAAGAAAATAAACATTATTTTGTTGAGATAAGATCTCTACACTATTTAGTAATTGTTTATGAATCATTAAAATGAGGTTATAGAAATTTACATCATTAATTGATATTGATTGTAAAAAGCCATAAAATTCAAAACAAATATGTTACCCTATTATACATCTATAAAGTAGCCTTTACTAAGGACCACTTATGAAATGAAATTCAAACCATTTAAATGTTTCAGAGGATAAAATATCAGTAAGTTATCGTATCGATTTCAAACAGAGTATACTTTCTACTTCAGCCAACTCTTGAAGAAGGTATTCACAGTAATATAATATCATGATTGTCTAGTTTAATGACTGTTTGCCAAGAATTGTAAGATATATTGCAAATGTTCTGAATGATGCGTTAAGCTAAATGTTTAGAACTGATAAAGGTTTGTCCAGTGTGTTTTCTAACGTCAGATAATATTTATATTTAATGATAATTACTGCGATCCAAACATCTTACATAAGCAATTGTGGATAGTGGCTTATAAAGCCTGTAACGTAAGGCAATATCGAGGCAATCTGCACATGATGCACATATGACAACAAGAAATTGATCAATCGCAGACCTAAACAACAATGGGAAGATACAAACAAACAACACGAAGCGAATTTAAATATATAATAGATTAGAAATAATGTCATAACATCTATAATGATTACAAACTTTTTAATATAGAAGCTGACGACTACTGGAAATTTTTTGATAAATATTTATTTGCAATTTTAATAGGTTTCGATTCAATACTTTATACTTTATGACAGAAACACCTCACTGTAACCAAACATATGATACTGAATAAACGAATCATTATTGTTGTGATTATTAAATGGGTATCTGTATTAACAGTTAAATAAAAGACATTTTATCATTTACTTTTATACATTTGTGTTTGAGAAAATTGTTTTCTTCAGTAGACGTTTATTGATAATATTAATTATCAGAAGGGGTTTTGTGGAGATTTAGTATTTATCATAGTTGAAAGCGTAAGTCAATTGAAGCTAGACCACCATGAAAAACCTGGAAACACTGGACGGCTGTTCTATTATGGGACTCCTCAGCAGTGCGCATCCACGAACCCGCTCTCGTGAGATTCGAACCCAGGACCTACCAGTCTCGAGCCGAAGCCCTTAACCCTTAACTGCTGAGGAGTCCCATAATAGGAAGAAACGGCCGTCCAGGGTTTCCAGGTTTTCCATTGTGGTCTAGCTTCAATTCACTCACGTTTATTGATAAATTAAAATCAGAATTGTATAGACTAAAAAAAATCTGAGTAAGTAAAGTTGGGGAAAAGTCTTAATGTAGCTGTAAATAAATCCCAAAAATCAATAGCTCTTTAAGTGTTCGACATTGGATGTTGACGACATTAGTTTTAATGGACTCACTTAGCTGAATGCTCTCGATCATGTTATTATTGAAACTAAATTGACCAAGACGTTTTCAATGTTAATATGAATCTAACCAAATGTGAATATTATTAATGAAAATAATAATGTACATTACACTAATAATCTTAGTTATATTTAATAAGTTATTCATCAGTTATCTTCTTTTTAAATCAATGTCAAAAAGAGTATAGTGACAGTACTTTTCTTTTATAAAATACAAAATTATTAACACAAATCTTGATAGAGAACCTTAAAGTAGTTACTTAATTCAATTAATTCTAATTGTGAAAGGTATAATTAAATCAATTCAGTATTTCTGGAAAAAAAGTCAACTGTAGTTTATGACATTTCGACTGAGTATAAGTATGAGAATGACTATGTATTACTTTTATTGTGGGTAGGTCAAATACATAGATAACCACAATAATGGGACACTCCAGAAAGTGAATATTAAAATGATGCATGTGTAATTAGTCGGTTTAAAATTGCGGAAATCAATAAAAAGGAACATTATTAAGGATGATTCCAGTGTACTGGAGAGCTCTTCACAGTGTATTCCTCACTTATTCTTTCGTTGTTGAATCTCAGTGACTGAACAGCTTTTGTTATCCTAGAATGGTTTCTCTGGTCTTCAGTATTTTACTGTTAGCTTTTCCATTGTATCGTAAAGTGCTCTTGTGTTTTCTCCTCTCACAGCTTTTTCTGTCATAGTTCACAGGTCTTCTGCACATTTCCACTCCTCCGTTATAAAGTTCCTCTTCATTTATTTGCTTGCTTCTGTGTACACATATTTTCAACTTCTGTTGACTGTTGTCTTTTTGTTCTTTCTTTCTCGAATGCTGCCATTGCTATTCACTGAAATATGATTTCCATGTTGGTGGGTTTTGTGACCCAGAACCTCCTAACACGATGAATTCATCCCATTTTAATCCCTTTCCAGTTGTTCTCTATCCTGATTCTTTTGTGTGTAATTGATGCTGTAAGGATTCGAATTAGTTGCTGTGAGCATTATTGAACTGCCTGAGCTCGTTAGCGTCTTGAAGACAGTCTCCATAAAACCTTTTAGTTGTTGCTTTTCAGATCATATTATACCACTTTATCTTCAATCTTATCTAGCTAACACCAGGTTGCGGTCTGAAACGACATTGACTCATCTGTCTATTTGTGCGTCTTCTATAGACCCTTCGAATTTTATAGTGATGCAGATGTAGTCTGGTTTTGTGTAGCATATTACGATGAAATTGACGCAGCTTGACATGATTGTTTGTGTATGAATATGGTGAGATCTATAACCACGTCATTGAAGGCACATAAATTTTCGTTTCTTTCTCCCAAACCATGTCTTCCCATAACTTCTTCACACTTGGTGTTATCCATTCCGTTTCTCTCATTATAGCGTTCAGATCTCTTTACCAGCAGTTCACTATGACTGACTACACAATAAGGCATATTTTTATTGTCTTCGTCTTTATAACCTTTGGATATGCAGTACTGAATGACATTCTTTGTAATCCCTCCCATCTTTGTTTGAAGTGTGGTTTGAACATCCTGGGTCCATGGGATTTTCATCATATAAGTGCTTTCCGTACTTCTTTAGAGAGGGTCCGTGCGATTCCTTATGTATGAGGCGTTTTTATCGTCATGACAAAAATACATCAGTGTCTCTCTTGAATCCATTCTTCCCTGTCCGACTCACATAAATGGGTTTAACTTAATCCAAACACCGTCAGGTTGCATGTTCTCATAACTGTAAATATTCGAATGGTCCCTTTGGTCTGCAACATTTTATGGACATTCCATGTGCCTATATTAGTTGTCGTTATGTTGATCAGGGAAAGCATCAGAATGTTGATTTTAAAAGATCAGAGGGGGTTTTGTGGAGAATTTAGTATTTTCACAGTTGAATTCATCAGTCAGTTGAAGCTAGATCACCATCGAAAACCTGGAAGCACTGGACGGCCAGGTTTTCGATGGTGGTCTAGCTTCAACTGACTCATGATTTCAACTGTGATTTTAAAAGAATCTCGGTTCTCATCAGGAGGTGTGATAACACTTCTAAAGGAAGACCCTTCATCTCCTAGGGTAAATTTTTAGTAGTTTAAGTAATTGTTCTTGGTTAGCATTTTTAAGCAATTTTTATTTCTACGGTATACGGTCACTATACACAATTTTCGTTACACTATTAAATCATAATTTCACTGAAGTTGATTATCGGTTATTTAGTTTCCAATCTTTACATTTTCTGTCAATGATATCTATTCTCAACTTTGAATTAAATAATTTTATAACAAATCTCACGCGATTAGTTCCCTTTATGAATTTAAATAAAGCCAGAACAAATATTGATGCAGAATAATATGAATTCATTATATTTCGTGGTTTCTCGTCAGCTGCTTACAACCAAATATGTATTAAAATTTTAGCATTGAGATAATAAATAGTGTGTAACAATTGATATAAGTGAATGTAAAGGATTGGAATGACAAAAGATTATCAATGATAACTATATATATATATATATATATATATATATATATATATGCGAGAAAAGGTCAGAGGTTATTAGGTGTTATAATCAAGGTAATATAAAAGGTGGGTGGTGTAATAGTTGAGTGAAGTTCAGAGGTAGATAAGACAAATTGTGTGATTATTTTAGAGATAATCAAGGAGTCATGGAATTAAAAACAAATAGGGTGGGTTACGTAATAATTGGCTAGAATTTGAAAAGTTCACATAGTTCAAGAGAAACAAGTGAGCAGAAATGTGTGAGTGAATGTGTGGTTTAAGAATTGGGTAATGGAAGAGGAATATAATACAAAACTAAATATTAACCAAAATAAAACTAATGACCAAAAAAACATTGAAGTTTATCATGTTTTTTATGCAGCATTTAATCTACATTTACATGATTAATATAAATGGTAAAAATTAGTTCAATAGTTTGTTAAATCATTTTAGGATTAAGTTATAGGAATAATTGTTTTGTTTTAACCCATCACCTCTATAGTCCTTCTTTTTCTTGGAATATATACACAATTAATCACGTTCATATACTTGATTTTCAAAGCTTTAGGAATTATAAGATAAGATAAATGTGCAATAAACATCAAAAATGTACTCACAGCATGCACATATGCCAATAAGAAACTGATCAATTGCTATCTCAAACATCATTTGGAAGATTCAAACAAACAATACTAAGTGAATTAAAACTTCAACCCATTGCACAAGGAAGTGGCTATCAGGACTCAGTAGCTGAGTGGATAACGCGATGGCGTTTGAAACGAAAGGTAATGGGTTCAAGTTCCAGATTGAACATCAACTCTGAGATGCAGGTGCATCCATCTGACCAGTTCCGAATAGGACGAAACGCCCGTCCTAGATTCCATTGTCCATCTTTGCTTACAATCAAAATTGTTTGTTTATCGCAAATAAAAGCAAGTTTGTTGTTCAATAAATTTAAGAACTAAAGTGTAATATTTTTTTTCAAAGTTTAGGTTATTCTAGAGCTTTTAAAAAGAAAAAAAAATCAATTATTCCATATGGTGCTATCATGATATGAATAATATACCCAACACTTACATTCAATTCATTTATTTTTTCTTCTAGTTGACAAACATTGTTTACAGAAATGATTAAAATTTATACATAAATGTAAATAGTTTCTTGAGTGGGTGGCTTAATCTAAAAAAGAAAAAAAAAGTTATCTGTTTAAACATCTACTCATTCCCAAGCATTTTGATTTATTTGTATCTACAAAATCAAGTGTACGTGTTTATTTAATATTATATTTTGATTTCTGTCTTTCACAACTATGAATTTTAAATATCTAGTTGAAACTTAAATTCAAATGAAACACAAGTAAACAACAATCTATCAGAACATATACTTTACATTGAATAGATAATTTTAAAATTACAATGTCTTTGGATCATACAAGAAGACGTTCTAATTCATTAGTTCCACGAATTGTAGAAAATTTACCAAATGATCCAGTAACTGGACAATCCATTTTATTTAGAACAGAATTCAAAGGAAGAGATCATACAAAAATTGTTGATCCAGCAGGTTTTTGTGATAGTAAAGCTAATCAATTATTGATGAAACATTTACGAAAGAAACGTAATTATGGTTATGTATATTGTTTAATTGATCGGATGAGATTTGAAAGAAGAAGTCGTTCAAAATTATTTCGTGATCAAATTTTTTATCAAGATATTAAGTATGTTTATTTTTTTTCAAATTTACCAAATATTTTTATGCTGGCATTAAATGATGAAAAACAAAGACGTGTTTATGAAACATATTCAGTGAATTCAATGGAAGATAGAAATAGAATTGCAGAACTTACACAAAATAAAAATTCTTTTGGAAAATTAAGAACAAGTATAACTAGTCAAGTGATAAATTATGGAAATGACATTCTGGACAACGGTCGTATCTCAATAGGAGAAGAAGAAACAGAAGGTGAAAATGGATTTGAAGAGGAAGAAAACTTTCACATGTATAGAAACAACAAGAGATATAGTCATGATTCATTGCATAGAATTAATACATTAACTAACAATCATTCTGAATATCATGATAATTCTAAAACAACTGGACACTTGGAAAATGCTTATACAAATGGATACTTAAATCAATCAAACATACCAACATATTATAAAACTAGTACAGCATCACGTGCAGCAAATTCACCAATTCACCAATCCTACTCTAAACAACAAATCAGATCGTTTATTGAACGTACACCTTCTCCAACAGACTATTTCGTCATGCAATATCATGGAAGAAGTTTACATAATAATCAAAGAATAAGCACTCATTCACCATTTAAATACAATACAGAAGGAAGTTCTATACCGATAACTAACAGTGAACCATTATTAACAAATAGTCCTATAAGAGAAGATTGTCCAATTTATTTCTATGTTCAACGTAGACCTAGTAAACCGGAGATACAAATGGACGAAACTACCGGAATAATAAAAAGTCCTTCAGCAGTTACTATATATCGTTAATATGCTGTATAATAGAAAAGAAAAAAAGACGATAATTACATTTTATATTTGTTGACAATTATTTATATTTAAAATTGATAAAGGAAACTAACATCTTGATAATTTGTAGAATCTGGTAATTCTTAATCAAGTTCCTCTTTTTTAATTTTTTTCAAGCTAATGAAATTCATAATGAACAAATGAAGAATTTGAGTTTTAATTGTATTGTTCAATTAGTTCTTAGTTGTATGGATAAATAGTAACATGAAATAGTTGCGATTTGAAAGTTAAAGAAAAAATATTCAATTTTCAAGTAGGCACTTAGTGATGAGAGGAATTTCTTCTTCCAGGTATTCCTTTAAGTAGATTTTACTTGAGCGTTGGAAAAGGGTTCGTATAATACCATTTTTGTAACTGATTGGACAGAAGTTGTAGTAATTTAGATATACTTCACTTCAGGTTTCTTTGCGATGAATGTGTCTTTGTAATATGTCAACTGATGTCTTTTTGATTTGAATATCTAGGAAATGGAGTTTATCTTCAGCTTCTTAAACTTACACTTCAAAGGAGATGAAATTACTGGAATTAGTCACGGAATTAATTCCACTTTGAAAGTAACCTTACTTACGTACTTACGCCTGTTACTCCCAATGGAGCATAGGCCGCCGACCAGCATTCTCCAACCCACTCTGTCCTGGGCCTTCTTTTCTAGTTCTATCCAGTTCTTGTTCATTCTTCTCATGTCTGTCTCTATTTCTCGGCGTAATGTGTTCTTTGGTCTTCCTCTTCTCCTTTGACCTTCAGGATTCCGTGTGAGGGCTTGTCTTGTGACACAATTGGGTGATTTCCTCAAAGTGTGCCCAATCCACTTTCAGCGCTTCTTCCTGATTTCTTCCTCCACTGGAATCTGGTTTGTTCTCTCCCACGGTAACTTGTTGCTGATAGTGTCTGGCCATCTGAAAGTGACCTACTCAGCAGAAAAATATTCAGTCAGTATTTTAACAAAAATAATTAAGTAAATCGTCTAATTAAAAGTAAGTGAAAGGGTTGCAATTCAAAATAAAGAAGTGATTATGAAATATTTTTCAAAGCTTAAATAAAAAGTATCTTCTGTGGTATAGAATTTAAGTGAAATATAAATTTTAAGCTAGTTTGATTATTTACTTAATATTTATGGACAAAAAAGCTATGAAAATGAGAATACAAGTGAATTTTAACTAGAAAAACAGAAAGATTTGTTGTTTAATTCTTAACTGATCAATAAATCATTAGGAAAACAAACCTAGACTTAAAATAGTTTACAAAATAGTTGTTATGCTTCAACCCAATACTTATATTTGGAGGTTTCGGTTTTTTAAATGAACTTTATCTAATAGTTAGTCCTAGTAATATGTAGTGAAGTGATCAGTTATCTTAGCCTGATGAAGATTTTCGCTTATATTTCTCATAATCAACCACTCTGTATGTAGTTCATTTCATCTAATAGAAAATAGTTCAACTTTCGTTTTGTTATTAAATTCTGATATATCATTCAACTAAAAGATATTATCAGTTAAGTTACTTTTGTACAAATTAGTTGTACAAGCTCTTATGATACAACGCTGCTATGTGGTAGTTATGAGTACCTTCAAATCACATTATAACTGGTTTACTCTTTATTTCAATGGTTAGATTTTTTCTACATCTTGTTATTAAATACTTCTTGGTATGTCAGAAATAACACTTCAAAGTTATTGATAAGCTTTTGTTTTCAGGGTAAGATAGAGGAAAGGTGGCTATATTTGAGAACTCTCCATTAGTAACAATAACCACAATATTAAATCTGTAATTAAATAAACTAAGTAACTGGAAGATAATAATATTGAAATTATTCCTTCATTAAAAATAATGGTACCTATTAAATGATTTATTGAAATATGATAGCTTTCGTTTATCATTATTTCATAGGTTGTAGACGTTAATAAACTAACGATTCATTGGGGTTTGAACAGTTGACTGTATTACATATTACTGTATTACTGTATTATCAACCATAATAAACTTTGGTTAATATACTCACTAGTATAATATACTAGTATAATGCATAGTTATACATAAACAATGATCTAAAATTTGATTAAAAATATTTGTTAGACGAGATAGTTTGAAATAAGATTTCATATGTTTATTGTTTGAATTAACGCCATTTTCTCATGAAGGCTGAGTGTCAAACCAGTCTAAATAATGTACATTTTTAATTTATTTGCTGGAATACAATCAAAGTGTTAGTTATCATAGCGACCGATGAAACTAGTGTATCAAAATGTCAAGTCCAGCTTACAGTAATTGTACATTCTCAAATATAATGAGACCGAATCAACTGAAACTATTAAATCACTTAAGCAAGATCCTCAAATACACCACGGAGAAAACCAACGTAATCACACCTGATGAAGAATATCTGAAAGAGGTGGAAAATTTCACGTATCTGAGTAGCATCGATGAATGTGGAGGATCTGATGCAGACGTAAAGGCGAGGACAGCATTCCCACAGTTGAACAATATATGGAACTAAAAACAACTGTCAACCAATATCAAAGTCACAATCTTTAATACGAACATCAAGACAGTTCTACTGTACGGAGCTGAAACTTCCAGCACTGCCGCAACTATCGTCAAAAAGGTACCAATATTTATAAACAATTGTTTAAGCAAGATACTCATTGTCCGTTGACCGGTGACCATCAATAACAGCCTACTGTGGGAGAGAACAAACCAGCTTCCAGTTGATGAGAAAATTAGGAAAAGACGTTGAAAATTGATGAGACACGCATTAAAGAAATCACTAAACTGCATGACGAGGCTAGCACCAACTTGGAATTCTGAAGGGCAACGAAAGAGAGGAAGGCAAAAAACATAATGCATTGAGCATTGCAAGCGGACATGAAAAGGATGAATAACAGCTGGAAGGGATTGCCCAGAACAGAGTTGGATGGAGAATACCGGTGAGTGGCCAATTCTCCTCCATGAGGGCTAACAGGCGTTAGTATGTAAGTAATAAAATCACTTGGATATTTTTTGAAGATTTTTGAAATTAAAACTTATGTAACACAGAGAAATATCTGATAACTGGCTTTTGAAATGAATTACTCAAATTATCTGTGAGTACAAATGAGTGAAAAGACATGTTGATTCACACATTGCAATTCAGATCAATAAATTGATTTTCTCTTTTTCGCTGGATATTTCATCTACTGTAATTATTCTATGAGCTTCCACTTACCCTGAGTAATGATCCTGATTGAAAGGATAATAATGAAATGCAGTTGTGACATAGATGGCTCGAGTTCCATGTTTCTCAAACTCTGAATGTACAAAGTGTTTGTTTCTAAATTCTTACAACTAACTTCAGAGTGATCATTAATATGGTGTTTGTAGCACAAAAACCTGGACACTTGTATTATGAATGGAATGCCTGGTCATCTTTATAAGAAGCTATCATGTGAGCTATCTTTTTCTGATGATCATATTATCCTAATCTTCCTAACGTTGTATCTTTACTATATGAGCTATCTTTCGTAATTCTTGCTGCGTTTATTCCCAGTTCCATGACGTGTACCTTAAAGTTTTCTGTTGTGTCTAAACAACTTATTTTGAAGTCTGATATATTATTTACGTGGGTTAATTACCATGATAGTTGTGTAATACAATAATGAAATATGGGCTGTATGATGTTAACATTTTTAGCATTTCTCTAGCATGAACAGTGTCTGTGATAGTTATAATCTTCCAAAAGACAGCATTAAGTCGACATAACTGATCGGAGATTTCATTAATGAGCTGAATTGTTGAATGACTGTTTAAGTATCACATTCTTAAAATCTTAGTTCATACCTTGTTTATTGTAGTACAAGAAAAACATAATCGAATGACCGCCAACTGGATGCAAATATTACAAACAAAAAAATGTTAGGGATTAATTTTCGCTTACAAACGACTAGTTTTGAACTTCAGTAGTCGATAATGTGTTGTAAATTAATTATCTTTTGGAGTAGTTCTTATAAGAATGGTCTATACTAAATGAGGAACACCATATTCAGCTTCAATCGGTCAATCTGGAAAATTTCCAAACAGATACAGTAACCACCTGAGTACTTCGGTAAAAAAAATCTTTTGTTTAATGAGGTATTAAATATGTCCAAACACTGTGCCACAAATAGTCTAAATTTTGAATGAAATTTGTTTTGTATATGATAATCAGTAGTTGGCACATAAAATAAATGGATAATAGACTTGTACAATTGATTAATCTCTGAGTAATGAACAATGTCCTTCTTAGTGCTGATAGAAGTATACCGGTCAAGTTGCAAGGTGGACACTAGGCTAAGTGACTTGACATTGCGTGGACTATGTTGAGATGATAGTTGTAAGTAGTTGACAGGAAACCCTGGGTCTCAGTCCTACTAGATATCAGTCGCGACCCGATTGGCCTAGTGGTAACGTCTCTGACCATGGAGCTGGGTGATAAGAAATTGAATCTGTTGGGAAGTGTCCGTTCTCTAAAGATCACTAATGCATCTTTTTAATTAGCACCGGATAACAGGAGAACTAGTTTCAGAGTTCCCTGTAGACTAACTCCAACCATCACTTTACACGAACACCTGTTTAGAAAAACATATTTAGCAAACTTATCGCATCAGTCTTTTGGTTGAAATCACTTTCCATCACAATGATTTCATTTTCAGGACCAAAAAGCCGTACTTATGTAAATTGCGTTAAATATTATTTCTGGCTTGAAAAATTGAGTGTACTCAGTTTTGTTGTGTTGAGTTCAATGGTTTAACTATAAAGCATCCATTGTCTTTCTATACAACATGAAGCTCCACCATCACGCCTTTTCTTTAAAGTGACAACAAAAGTAACATAATTCTGAAAATGCACGAAAACACGAAATATCTATGCCTTACGTGAAACCAATGTAATATATAAGATTGTGTTTTATAGTACATATTTAAAAAAATTAGCAGACGATTACCTATTCAGCACTTAAGTTTAGTAATGGGATCCAAATCAATTCTGCCTGTAAAATAAAGTTGACATCAGGTTTTCATGATGAAACTTAAACGGTAAGTAGTCTAATGACATATCAATTTACACAAACACGAATGAATATTATATTCTTATCTACCTTCAAGTTTTCATCAACTTCACATGACAGAAACTATGTTGAAATATCAAATATTTCATAAATTTAAACCTTGTCAA